CAGATATAGGCAGAATTAATTCAGGCCCATCAGGAAGGGCTCCTGGGAGGAGGTAAATCAGAAGAGTTGTAAACCTGGATTAGTCGAGGTAAGGACTTTGCTGACTCTTTCTCTCGTGTCTAAATGTTGGTTTTTTCCAGGACTTGTTCCTAGATCTTGTCACTGCTTTCTCCATTTCTTTCTCGGATGATCTCATTCTTTCCAGTGGTTTTATCCCCCAAGGATTGCTGGCAATTTCTATCTCCTCCTGAACTTTCTTCTTAGCTCTAGATTAGTATTTCCAACTGCCAACCTGACATTTCCGCTTGAATGTCTTTGAAGCCTTCTCAAATTAGACATGACCAAAACATAGCACTTTTGCCCTGTCTCTGCTTTGTTCCCCGCTTCAGTCTGTTCAGACTCCCATCACCTTCATCGCAGTAAACGCTGCAACTATCCATTTACTCAACTGCTTAAGCCAGAAACCCAAGAGTTGTTCCTGACGCTTCACTCTGCCCTTACCTCCCTCGCCTTCACCCTCCATCTCTAACCATTATCAAGTCTTGATTCTAACTCCAAAATAGATGTCAAACCCATCCACTTTTCTCCGGTGGATACTTTTGTCAGCATCCCTGCCCAGGCACCATCACTGGTCACTGAACTGCTGCAGTGGATCCCCTCCTCTTCCCCTTCCAGGCTGCTCTCCATCTCACTTCCTGTGTGCTCAGTTTCCTTTGCTCTCACTGTTTCTACCCCTCTATGCTTCTCCTTCTCTCAGTGTTTCCGCTAATTCTTTTCCCCACATCTCTACCCACCTCTCCTTCTGTTTTCTTCCCCCTTTCTCTGTTAAACCCATCAGTATTTCACTCCCATGTTTCTCTCTCCCCCTCAGGGAGCTCTGTTAAACTATGAAATACATTATGTCTCTCCCTTGGTTAAAACTCTTCCATGGGTTCCCACTGCAATTAGAATAAAATCTACTTTCCTCAGTATGGCGTCACGTGGTGGGGCTACTGCCTGACTTTCCAACCCTATCCTAAGCCGCACGTGCTCCACACTTCAGCCATACTGGCTTCTTTCAGTTCTCGGAATGCGCCAAACTCTCTCCCCTTCTGTACAGAGTCTTTGCAAAAATTGTTCTCTGTGCATAGAACTCTTCCCTGTCTCTCTCCCTGGCTAATTGCCACCATTCTTCAAGTTCATGTTTTTCCTCCAGCAAAACCATTTCTAAATCACTCAATCAAAGTCTTAAAGTAGGCCCCTGCTGTCTCTCTGTTTTTTCTTTCAAAACAATTACCATGATTTAACCTTGTGTATTCACTACATACACAAGTGAATGTAGTAGCTCCATGAGAGCATCACGTCTGTTATGTTCATCACTGCGTCTGTTGCCTGTGGTGCCCAGTTTAATAAAGGGTGTGAATAAATGATTGCTTAATAAATGAAGGAGTGGACACTGCTTGGACAAACATATAGCTTGAACAGTGATAGAGCCACAGAAATGAGTGAAACCAATAGAGTGGACGGTGAGGAGACAGCCTGAATGGAGCAAAGGGCCTATGTGTGACACAATCCTTAAGCCTTATTCTAGCAAGAGACTTCTATGTTACACATTCATATTTGAGTATGGATGTTGGTATTTTAAAGTTTTTATGTTCACTTACAACCGTATTTATTTTTATGTTAGTAAAAGAAGCTTTCCAAATTACACTTAATGATTTCTCAGTATTAGCTTTTTCTTACCTCTTTTTAATTTGATGAATTATGTTAAATGAACTATAATTATGTCCTATCATAGTATCATCGTAACAACTCATTTGTTAAGTGCTAGCTATGTATCAGGTACTTTATTTGTATCACCTTATTTAATCTTTACAACAAGCATACAAGAGAGGTGGTGGTATCCCATTTAGCAGATGGGTCTGCTACTTTCTACTACCCCAGTGGTGCCTTTATGGTGATTTATTTTAGTATACATTAAAAAATATGAAATATGTTTGGTATGGATACAGCATTTCTATTTTTTCTTCTAGGCACTTAGGAAATATTTAACTCAGAATTTTAAAGCTGAGAAAGTTGTTTTTTATTCCCCTGAACAAATCAGTATATCTTCTTTAACTATTTTTCTAAATGAAACATTAAAAATGATGAAACGTTTTTTTGACACACAGAAGGGCGTACAGACCAGTATAATAATACCTGTGTTCTCACTGCTTATCTTGAACTGAAATCTTACTGGTACAGTTGAAAGGCCTCTGTGCATTCCATCCTAATCTCATCTCCGTCCCCTCCTCAGCAGTAACCACTGCGCCAACTTGGGCATTTACCGCATCCCTGCAGCTTATGTGTCTTGGCAGTCATCTGTCGGCTGGGTGCCGAATGTACATGTGTTGCAGTGGCAGTTAATGTTACTATTTTTCTGAGGAAACTTACTTTATTTCTTCGCTTTTTTGCCATTCTTTTCCAAGTCGGCCCCCAATTTGTACCAGGACTGAGGCATACCACCTTGTGCTCTCCCCACCACATTTTATAATGTGAGTGAGGAATTAAAATATACTCAGTTTCAGAGCCTACAGCTGTGGAACAAAGGAGCAGCTCCACGGGCTGGCATTTTTTTCCCATCCTGATCTGAAGTCAAACTGGTATGAAGAGCCTTACCATAAATAATCTTGAGGACCTCATGGCTGAAAGCGTTTCTAAGTGGGCTAGGCCCAAATTCTGTTTAAGTTTTAGGTGGATAAGTGCACTCTGTGCTTCTAACATTTTCTCCAGATTTAAAAAATTAAGTATAGTATTCACTTGTGATCTGTGCATACGCTGTTTGTCTTGTTAAAGCAGGGTTAGCGGATAGTTTGGGCTTGGTCATTTGAGAGCTCTTTTTTTTTGCCCAAATCCAAGGGAAAAGACTTCCTCAAGATGGCACAGAATTAAAGTAGTCTTCTCCAAAAAGACAGACAAAAACAGAAACCAAAAAAAGCCAATAAATTGCTAATCGAGGTGCAGATCCAGAAACGAAGAGTTGCTGATTCGGTATAATTGGTTTATGTGGGAAAAAAAAATGTAGAGACTGAGGCTTTTAGGGAAAGATAGATAAGAGGAAAGCAGGTAATAAACTGAGTAAGAAGCAAGAATTGGGATTGTGATGCAGATTGGGGACTGGGCTAACGGTAGACAAGAAGCTGCTGTTGGGATTCAATGCTTGAGACAAAAATGATTTGGAAAGAGAATAGTGAATGACTAGAAAGTATGAATAACTGGCTCTTAGGATCTGGAACACAGTAAATACTCAGGAGTTAATGATGATTCACTGATACAATCTCATCAGTTTATAAAAGTTTTCCAATAAAAGCATATCTTTGTGTACCTGATAGTTTTTCACATATGAAGACATATTATAACTTATCTGAGTACCATTTATTAAATAACTTCTTTTTAAAGGTAATCCAAATGGTTAATTTTGTTATCTTTAAAGTAGTTCTTTCTATTTCATAAGAATGATGTGGGGGAATATATATATATATATATATATAAAATAGACTCTCTGCTAAAGTTCAGTGATTGAAGCTTGTGCACAAATTCTTCGTTTCTTTCATAGAACTAATTTTGTTGAATTTTCCATAAAAACTGCAACTACTAAACATTCTTGTGATAGCTTCTTTGTGACTGTGTCACTGTTCTTGATTTGCACACGCCTTATAATTCAGGCCTTCTTTTGTTTGGGGTTGGCAGTTCCAGCTGTTCAAGCTCTTGTCTGATTATGTGGGACTCCTTATTTTAATGGGAGCAGCTTCTTTGCTGTATTTTTTAAAAATGGTCTCGGAAGCTTCTTACTGTGGATCTTTGTTGGGGACAAAGGATTATTTATGCTAAAGGAAAACGTATTCCCCACTGAGTTAGCTCGTGGGAAGCATAACAAACTCATTAGTAATGCCCAATTGTACTTTGGCTTTTTGCTAGGGTAGAGAGAAGGAAAAATGACATCAAGGACATTCTGCTGTCCTTTGCCTTCTTGCAAAGACAATGTGATGTGTAACATCAGACTTTTCAGTTAGGTTTAGCTCCAGTTCAGCTTTGGTACTGGAAGAAATGTTCCTGAGAGGAAAGTGGGATGTGTAGGTGGCGCATCTGCACATCTGAGGTATGTTTGGTATAACTTAGGGGAGAAAGTAACTTTTCCTTATAAGCCATTTTCTATTTTTTCTTAGAATATTTTAATGGTGGTTTACAATAAAAAATAGACTAGTATGTAATGCTGCTATAAGCAATCTAAAATCCTAGGTTTTATATAGTCTGTTATTCTGTTTTCAAACTCTTCACTTTCTTTCCTCTGAAAATACATTAAAGAATTGTATTAATCCAACTTAAAGTTGTGGTTTTTTTCCTTGTATGTTTCAAGAATAGTCCTTTAGAGTTCAAATTGCTTTTTTTTTTTGGTCTTTAGCACCTCATGGAGAAAATAACTTATGGAAAATTATTAAGGAAAGGCATTGAGTATTGTTTCATAGTTAAAATTGATATCTTTCTTTATTACCTTGTCATCTGGTGGAAGAAGCTTATGGTTAAACTTGAGAATTTATACAAAGTTCGGGTGAACTTATCTCTTTGTAAAGATCAGATGAGAGATACTTGACTTTCAGTATCAGTTGTTGTGATATTTGTATTTACATTATATTTACAGTGTGTTTACAGGGGAAAATTCTGGGGCAGTTTTAAGGTAAGCTAAGTTTTATTGTTAGTTTTATTTTACTAGTCAGATGCTTCAAGAATTACTTTGATATTAGTGCCAGAAACTATATATTAAAGTGTGTTTCAGATTTTCCTCTTTCAAATGAGGAGTACTTTTATGAAGTAAGAAACGAGGAGTATGATTGCCTTCTCCTATGGTCAAATTATTCCAAATAGAAAAGTACTAGGTTTTCAGTCAGATAGGAGAATAAATCAGATTCCTTGTAATTTGAGGGTTTGGGGGAGTAGGAAAGCTACCATTGTCTGCATATTAATGTTTTGTTTTATTTTCATAGCAGCAATATCATTTCAGCATAGATGACCATGCTGCCTGCAATTCAAGTAAGTGGTTTTCTTGGGAAAATATATATTTAAGTTAATGAGATTAATATAATAAGATTACAGTAGTTAGAAAAAAACTAAAATTATCACAAAAATTTTGTTTTACTGTTTTTTTAAGCATCAGATTTAATAACACTTTTTATTTTCACTTTCTAGTTCTGAAAAGACTTTAATATTAAGCTTTCATTTATACTGCATATTTGTAAGAATCAAAAATATCTTAGGATTGGTGGGTTCATCGTATTTGTACTACCCTGGGAAAAGAATTGGAATAGTTTGTGATTTTCTTCTCATTACAGTTTAGTATATGTTTGTAGTTAAAAGAGCTTTCAATGAAAACAAATATAAATTCTTAATTTTAGATAACTGTACATGTGCCCTGTAATGCCTGTAAATAATGTGTCATTAAAACTTAAAATTTAGAGTGGTTTTTTTTTGGTTAGTTTTTTGGTGAGGGGAAGCAAGATGGAGGTAATAAGACAAACCAGAATGATCTTACATTTGATTGATTTCCAGAGTTGGTATTTATTCTTAGATGCTTTAAAAGTTTTCTTTCTTTTGACATAAACAGAACATGACTGAATTTTAACTTAAAGATAAAAATCACCTTGAAGGTCTACCTAGGAAGATGTAAGCGCTGATAATAAAATTTGCCTTTGAAAGTGAGAATTTTAGAGTCAGTCCGATTTTGTGTCTGATTTTTGTTCTGCCACTCTGCTTGTGAGATCCTGGCAAGTTATTTTACCTCTCTGAGTCCCCGCTCCCTTGCCTCTGAGGTGAGGATAACAGCGCGTATTTTTCAGGGTAGTTGTGAGGAATCAATGAGATAACATGAGCCAAGTGCCTCCTGGAATGTGTTGTTACCTAGTAGGCACTTCAGAACTTTGGTTGTATCATTGGTACAACGAAATTATCCGGATGTAAAGCTGGAGATTATAACTGTGTCGTGAAAGTTTTTTTTTTTTTTTAATTAAGAAAGAAGGCTTATCAAGATAGCAGTGTGTGATAGCCTAGAGAAGATAACTTATTTATAAAATGGTTAAGAACAATTCTGAATGGGATGCTGCTTTCTCCCTCCTACGCTGTGCAGCTATATCCTCCTACCCTACTAATAAAGAGTTCTTTTGTACTGTTTTCCTTTGGGGACTTGGGAGTCCATGGCAGTCTTCCAAAAGGTCTTACTCTTCCCCTTTGGGGTCTTCTCTAATCCACATTGAGTATGCTCAGAACTCCTTATTTCTCAAAACCAGTTTTTATCTGATTACTTCTGTTCATCTCTTTTTATCCAAGTCTCAGAATTGTCATCAGTTTCATGTTGATTATATTTTCTATATTCCTTATAAAGTGCTTTTTATCATTGCCACATTGACCATGTTTTTCTCATTTCTCTCCTAATGGCCATTAATACTTTCTTAAATTGGTGATTTTTTTTTCCATAGTGTTGTCTTATAGTTCCACGAACCCGCCTCTGACCTAGATTCCACAGATCTGTCCCTATTGATACTTCTCCAAGAGTACCCTTGACATCCCTCGTGGAAGTTTTTGCTTCTCTCCCTGGTGAATGTGAGAACTTCCTCGATTTTCACCTCTTTGCTAATTAGGCTTCGTTTTTCATAAGTGCCTTGCAGAGAGGAGACACTCAGTAGATAGCTGGTTTCTTATTCATTTAATCCATGAAGGTCTTCCTTGCCCCTTTTTTATGTCCCTGATTCTGATTAGTAAATAAACTTACAGTCTAAAAATCAATGAACTAGATAGTTCCTAATCTCTTTTGGGTCATAGACCCTTTCCAGAATCTAACAGAAACTATGAACTCTCTCTCTCTGAGAAAAGGCCCATTTGTACGTAGGCCTAAATTTTTGCCTAAATGTAAGTTGTTTATATACTGATTCAAGTTCTTCTGTAGACTGCCTATGGTAAGGAATCTCTGCAGTGTGACAGCTTTCAGCATGATTGAGAACAATCTTTATACATGCAGGTTTTGTTATTAACATCTAGCTTTTAACAACATTAATATGCTACTGACTAGCCCAGGTTTTTATAGTTTTCTGCTTGTAATAATAGGAAAATCCAAGTACTCTTCTCCCTAATGTGCCAAGAACTTAGAATGACTTTCGTTAATTTTAGCTTCTCCATTTTCATACATGATATTTTCAAAACCACCTTCCTAGATAATGTACATGTTTCCTTGACAAACATTTGCATCTTCTCTGCCTTTTGTCAGCTCAGCCAAATGGTTAAAGGACAAATAACATTCTGCTGACTGTAAAATACCATTTATTGTAAGATGCATCTTGATTTTGATGGTACAAAGAGTCATTTGCTAGTATCTGTTCCTCAAGTATTCAACTAATATTTTTGACTGCCTATCATGAGGTAGGTCTTATACTGAGTCCTGGGATTACAGAAGCAAGACATTCTTATGAAGGGAAGATTTAGATATTATATCTTTGCTGTACTCCCTTTGAAGTAATTCTAAGACAATTTGGGGAAATAACATCTTGTTTTTTTCCAAAAACTTTATGGGATCCTCATGTATTTAGGAGTTAATTCCCCAAATCTCTACCCTCAGTTTCTGAAATAATGCCCCTCGAATAACAATGTTTCTCTTAGTATTTGGGTATTTTTATTAAGTTTTGCTACTCCTGCTTGCCTCTTGTGGTATATATTCATTGTCTTCCTTTGCCTGTGAGATTTTTTAAAAAACGTGTTTATTTCTCATCATAGGAGATTGGAAGCAGCTCTTTTCTTCCCCTCTATGTTTGTCTGGGTTAACAATGGTGTTGTTATGGCTTTTGATTTGGTATAGTAACACCTGCCTCAAATAAACCTCAGTAAGTTTAATATATTTCGGGGGGGGAAATTATCTACATTGAAAAATCAAGACAGAACTAGGTTCACTTGGTATTACCTATACTTATGCCTCTTTTTAAAAAACTTTTTAAATTTTTATTTTAAAGCAATCACAAACTTGCAAAGTGGTTGTTAAGTGTAGAGCAGAGATTTGAACCATTTGAGAGTAGGTTGCAAATCTAATGTCCCGTTACCTCTGGTACTTTAGTGCATTTATCGCGTGCAAGGACTCCCTCCTATACAGCCACAATGAAATCATCAGAATCAGGATATTAGCGTTGGTACAGAACTACTATCTAATACTCAGGCCACATTCAACTATTTGTCAGTTGTCCCAATAATGTCCAGTTCAGAATCACCTGTTGCGTTTAGTTGTCGTGCCCCTTAGTCTTTATTAGTATTTGCTTTCTTTAATGACCTTGACACTTTTGAGTATTACAGACCAATTATTTTGTAGAATGTCCCTCAATTTAGATTTGCCTGATGTTTTCTCATGATTAGATTCAGGTTATGCATCTTGGCAGGACTATCACAGAGGGATGTTGTGTTGTCTCGTTGTATCCTGTCAGGTGCATATGATTTTGATTGATCCTGTTGTTGATCATGTTCACCTGTGTCACTCGGTTAAGTTGCTGCCTGGGTTAAGTTGCTGCCTGATGAGTTTCTCTACTGTGAAATTACTTTTTTTCTCTTTGTAGTAGGTATTTCTGGGGAAGTACTTTGAAAGTATATGGAAATCTCATTCCTCATCAAAATTCCAGTTTATTCATTTATTTATATCTAGGTGGACTCAGAGTTGTCCATTTTATTCAGTGTGTTACAATCCACTTATATCATTATTTTGATGCTCAAATTTTTCTTGATTTGGCCAGCAGAAGTCCCTTCAAGCTGACTTCTGTGTCCTTTTGCATGTTCCTATCATTCTTTGAGCACTTCTTTGCTTTCTGGTAAAACTTACTTGATTCCAACACCATAGGGTTCATTCTAGTTTTCTCAGTCCATAGTTGTACCTCTTTTCTTTGGCAGTGAGAAACCTGGCTCCCATTTGATAAATCCCCGTGTATGTAACCCGTCTCCCTTTGTTGCTGCCACCCCTCCCTGAGCTGATGCCCTTCTCAGCTCAGTTGGGCTCTGACACCCTGCACTGGGATGTTCCTCCGTTGTCCCCAGCGGACACCCTCTTTATCCTGCTCAGGGTCTGATGCTGCACAGGGCCGTTGCCATGCGTGGATGCCCTGTCACCTCACTCAAGCTCTGACCCTCCATTTCAAGCTGCCCTCCTGTGAGAACCCCTTTATCACTTCACTTGGGCTCTGATACCCCTTTCTGAGTTGAGATTTGACACAGTCTTTTCTCTAACTAATCTTATATTAAAAGTATATCTAATTGTATTTCAAAATTTTGCAAGTGTTGGTTTGATAGCATGTTTCTGTCAGTTTTTATTCTAAACCAGGGATTGACCAGGTAGTAAACATTTTTAGCTTAGTGAGTAAGTAGGCAGAATCAAAGCTATTATGTAGGTACTTACATAACTACCATTTTAAAATGTAAAAACCATTCTTAGCTTGTGGGCCATGCAAAATCAAGTGACAGACCACATTATTTAGAATTTTTTTTTTAGATAACACTGTTATTATGATTTAAAGTTTATAAAATGCCAACTATGCATTCATTCATTTATCCATTATTCAACAAATATTGTTAGGCCCAATGCTAGATTCTACAAAGATGTAGCTTATAAGGCAGGTATTATTAATTCATTTTACAGCCAAGATGCTGATACTCTGGTCAAGTAACTTGTCAGACTTATGCAGCTAAGAAGTGAAAGAAAAAAATTATTTGTTGACTTTCATCCCCTCAGTTTGATGGTAGAACCCATTCATTAATTAGGGATTCACTTACATTTATCACAGAATTGAATACGGAAAGTGTCTCAAGTATCTAGGCTAATAGTTTGCTTCTGGTTTATTAACTTTCTGTGAGCTGCTGCAGCTCTGTATATTAAATATGGTCTGTAATTCATTATTTAAATATAAATGTTAGGCATGCTGACTTTTAACAGGGTTGCATCCATTCAGTTGGTTGGTGTTTTCTCTAGGTGTGGTTTGGAGAAGACCTGCCTCTAAGTCCACGGAGTCCTCTGACCCCCAGACATGGGCCAGGTTTGGCTGATGTTTGTCAGTATGATGAGTGGATAGCTGTGAGGCACGAAGCTACCCTGTTGCCCATGCAAGAAGATCTGTCAATCTGGCTATCTGGTTTATTAGGTAAGGCTTGCAAAGATGCTCAAAATTGTAATCTCTTATTCAGTAAATGTTTATTGAGAATCTTGCTCTTTGTCAAGGAATGATAGTTCCAGAGGCTGGGGATCCTCTAGTGATGGAAATATTTGATGTCCTTTTTCTCACCAAGCTTACATTCTAGTTGGGAAGATATTCTGATTCACCCTGACCCTCGGGGCTTGAATAGTAAGCAAGTTTGAGGCTTCATGGAAGAGGTCAGTAGTAAGAGCTGTGAATAATCAACATTTTAATTGTTAATGTTAAAAAAAATTTTAAGTGTATAGGTCTAATTTGGGGGTCTGTATTTTATTGATTTCTATTTTCTCCTTAAACTTGTGTAAGGCATGAGATTCTGGGTGGAATATATGCTGTAGTTAAAATGATTCCTGTTTCTGAGGCTTCGAGGGGCAGAGGTATATGAAACCTAGGAGGAAATGTCAGCTTGGAGAATGCATGGCATCATATTTCTTTACTCAGTTAGAGGGACATGAGTGCTCTGAACTTTCTCCCTAGAAAAAAATTCTCTTTTAAATAACAGAATTTCATGTAGCATTGTAAGGTTTTCGTGAGGAGGAATATATATGTATAAAGCTCATCTATGGTCTTTGAAGAGAATTAAAAACGCACTAAACTCTCACTCTTATATCAGTTTGAAGATTTGGATAATTTCTTAAAAGTTTATTATGTAATAATGCTTCCAAATAAGGGATTTTAGAGGTGAAAAGTTGGTGTTTTCTGAGTGCTTGTTACATTGTTATCTTTAATTTTTAAATTGCAACAAAGACCATCTTACTTATAGAGAATCTTTCTTGTGCAAGCAGTTGTAATGTGCAGTGAATCAAAACTTAACCTTAATAGTGGATCTTGAAATATAAAACACTTTGGTGTTTTTCAGTGAAATAAAGTAGATGTCATTTATTTTTCCTGTGCTTCTACACCACAGATATTTTTGTTTCAGTTGACTTTCTCTTAATTTGATATTATCTGCTGTTTTAACTGTACCTTCTAAGAGTGAATGCTCAGAGTCTGATCTAATATTTGCCTAGTGTTTCAGCTATAATCCGATTACATTTAATTAAACTTTAACCATATTGTTTGAATTTACTGTTTCTAGAAGGCTCTTAGCTTTGAAATATGTTTTTAGGTATTGAAGTTAAGGCAGAAAGGTTATTGGAAGAACTTGATAATGGAGTACTGTTATGCCAACTGATTGATGTTCTTCAAAACACGGTGAAAACATGCAACTCTGAAGAACCAGTGGTAAGAAAATGTTTGACAGTAGTGATTTAATACCTTGGTACATATTGATTTGCTTATGTACATTTCTTATCATCTCTACAAGGCTGTAAACTTCCAACACAACTATATGTAAAATCTTGGATAATTTACTTAATCTTTTTGAGCATCTGAAAAAATATTCTCACTTGTAAAATGGAGATATTAACATTTACCTTGTAGGATATATTTTCGAGGATTCAGCAACATTAAATGAGATAATATATAGATAATGGTTAGCTTATATAGATAATGCCTGGTGCATAGTAAATATCTAAATAGCTAGTTCTTCTTGAGAACAATAATAGTACCTTCCTTATAGGATTCCTGTGAGAGTTAAGTGAAAAAAGAGGTTGTGATGGTTCCTGGCACACAGTTAAGAGCTATTATCATCATCTTTTTATTCTTTATATATTGTCTTCATGGTAAATTCATAAATATTGGCTGAATGAATAATACGTTTTTTAGATACTTTTCTACCGTTGACCCTGAAGTTGGGATTTGAGGTAGATAAGGTTTCCTCTCTTTTCATCAAATATGGTTATTTTCACTCATGGGATCTGGTGTCTGTGAGTGTGCATTCTAGATATTAACATAGTGCTGGTGGAAATATAAAGTAGTACCATCTTTCTTGGGGGACAATGGGTAACATATATCACATTGAAAATAAAGCACATCCTTTGATACGTAACGTAATTCTAATTCCAGGAATTTATTCTAAGAAAATAACCATAAATTCACAAAAACGAGTGTGCAAAAAAAATTAAGAACAACCTAAATGCTCATCAGTAGGGAAGTTGTTTAAAATTAATTATGGTACCTAAATAGAGTAGAATATTATCTATTCATTAGAAATGACTATTTTAATTTTTGTGTTTTTTTTTTTTTACCTCAAAAGATGCCTGCAACCTATCATTAAGTGTGCATGCACACATACACAAATCAGATTGCAGAAGAGCCTGTTTACGTAGCATTCTGTAGGTACAGATGTACTTGTGTATGGAGATGTCTTACTGAAATGTGGATAAGAAGATTTCAATTGATACTAACCATCTTTGTATTTGGCTGTGTTGATTTTTTTTTCCTATATACAACTAGAAAAACTCACAAGGTTATTGTAATCCTAGAAAATAATAGCAACAGGAAGGAAACATAAGGAACTGGTAATAGTGTGGTTCTCTCCAAGGAGAGAAAGGAACTGAGGGGTAGTGGTAGGAGAAAGACTTATACTCTACTGTGTCCATTGCATTTTAAAAAATCATATGCGTGAATTTCTTATTCAAGTAAAAATTTGAAACAAAACTAAAAACCCCTCAGCCGGGCTTCCCTGGTGGTGCAGTTGTTAAGAATGTGCCTGCCCCAGTGCAGGGGACGCAGGTTTGAGCCCTGGTCTGGGAAGATCCCACATGCCGCAGAGCAACTAAGCCTGTGTGCCACAACTACTGAGCCTGCGCTCTAGAGCCCGCAAGCCACAACTACTGAGCCCATGTGCCACAAGTACTGAAGCCTGCACGCCTAGAGCCCGTGCTCCGCAACAAGAGAAGCCACTGCAATGAGAAGCCTGCGCACCACAACGAAGAGTAGCCCCCACTGGCCACAACTAGAGAAAGCCCGTGCACAGAAATGAAGACCCCATGCAGCCAAAAAAAAAGAGATGAATAATTTCTAAAAAAACCCAAACCTCAGCCTCAGCAGGATTCTCTGAATACTCTTGGTCCAGGAAATAAAAATGAATTAGGATTCTGTAAAACTTAGCTTGTCAGTTTTCAAAGAACTTTAATTAAGAATGGGCTACTACTTCCTTGTTTGAAAGTCTCCTCAAGAAACTCAGAACCATATTTATGAATCTGCAAATAAGGAAGTTAGCAAAATTGAGACTGTGTAAACCTTTAACATAGCAATAATTTTGTGTTTGTATTGAACTGTGTTTGGAGAGATAAACTATAAAGATGTGCTTTGGAATTATTAGACTATCATTTTTTATCTTAACTAAGACTCTCATGTCATTTTAAAAAGAAAGATTAGAGATGCGTGATCCTGCTAATTTTGACCTGACTGTTTTCCTAGGAATCATTTTCTAGAATATGCTTAATGAAAAGCAAAATAAAATGATTTTTGAAGATGCCTTTTTCCTCTAGTGCTATGCACTTTTTAGTTACATTCAATGCACTGAACATTTATTTAGTAATATTAAAATGGATATTTAATGAAAATATCCTTGATGCATGTTTGAAATTATTCTTTTGTCTTTTCCAGAATTTTCCAATGAGAAAAGTGCCCTGTAAGAAAGATGCTGCATCAGGTTCGTTCTTTGCTAGAGACAATACTGCGAACTTCCTTCACTGGTGCAGGCACATCGGCGTTGATGAGACTTACCTCTTTGAATCTGAAGGTTTAGGTAAGTGTTGTTGTTGTGTTTAATGTTTATTAGGATATTTTTGTATGCCTCACTTCTAATTTTTCTTTCCAAGTAAGGACTCAAATGCCACATCTCATTTTACTAGAAACATTTATACTCTAAATATATGTAAACAATTGGAGAATCAGATTCCAGATCAAATGTATGATAAAAGCTTTTCATTTATGTTTTAGATCCTATATATCTAGAATGGCCTGGACATATTTTACTTCCTAAATGAGTTGGCTATGGGAAGGTTCTGGATTAAGGCTTAACTAATTAATGTTTTCATCAAGAATTACTCTATCAAGTCTAAATTACTAGTAATTTCTTTTTAACTAGATAATTACAGAAATAACAGAAGGCCAAATGATGTATGTTCATGGTGTTTAGATTTACCTCGTAAACAGCAGCTGCCAATTTGGTTATCTAAATGGGCTAATGCTTTTAAAAAGTCATGCTCTATTGAAGAATTATTGATGTATTTTCTCATTTCATTTAAGTCAACAGAAACATCTGTGCAGTGACCAAAGTGAAAACTATCTAAGTTTTAGACTATCTATATATTTCCTCAAAGTATTTATGTGTGCGCGCGCGTGTGCGTGCACACACACAGACACACACACACACTCACAGAATTTATAATGTTTTGATAAGAGCAGTAGCATACCAAGGGCGGGGGTCATGGGAATAGTATTCGGTCCTGGTAGAGAGAAGTATTTTGTCACTGACATTGCTTAGAATTGCCGGTTCATGGTGATAATAAAAAGCAAACCAACTTTTTAGTTGGTTTCATTATTGTTTTAGGTTATTAATGTTGTAAATATTTCTATTGACCATGCACACCCTGTTGCCTGCAGACAGGTAGCTGTTCCCCACTGTTACCTGTTTAGTATGCCTCTGGATATTCTTATCCAGTGTAGAATTAAAACTAATGGATTGCTGTTTTACCCCCCAGTTTGCACCCTGCTTTAATCCAGGTGTGCTCATCATTAAGCATATTAGGTTTCTTTTTATTCATAGCATTTAAAAAAATTGAGGTATGTTCACGTAACATAAAATGTATCATTTCAAAATGTAGACTTCAGTGGTTTTTAGTATACTCACGATTTGTGCAGATATCACCATTATTAATTCCGGAACATTTCCATCACTCCAAAAAGAAAACCCATACCTATTAGCACTTGGACCCAGTTACTCCATATCTCCATCCTCTGGCAACCACCAGTCTACTTTCTTTCTCTATAGATTTGCTACTCTGGACTTTTCATATAAATAAAATCATGCAATATGTAGCTTTTGTGTCTGGCTATTTTCAGTTAGCATTATGGGTCATTTATGTTGTAGCATCTAACAGTACTTCATTCCTTTTTATGGCTGAATGATATTTCGTTGTATGGATATACATTTTTTAATCTACTATCAGCTGATGGACATTTTGATTGTTTCTATTTTGGGGTTATTATTAATAATCCTGCTATGAACATTTGTATGCAAGTTTTTGAGTGAACATATGTTTTAAATTCAGGGATATACCTAGGAGTGGAATTATTGGGTCATATGGTAATCCTGTGTTTATCTGTTTGGGGAACTACCAAACTGTTGTCACAGTGGCCACACCATTTTACATTCCCACTAGCAATGCACAAAGGTTCCAATTTCTTCACATAGTTGTCAACACTTGTTATTATTTTTTAAAATTACAGCTGACCCTTGAACAATACAGGAGTTAGGGGCAGCGGTCCCCTAACCCTGCAGTCAAAAATCTGGATATAACTTTACAGTCAGCCCTTTGTATCCACGGTTCTGAATCCACAGATTCAACCAACCACAGATCTTATAGTACTGTAGTATGTATTTATTGAAAAAAATCCATGTGTAAGTGGACCCACACAGTTCAAACCATGTTGTTCAAGGGTCAACTGTATAACCATCCTAGTGGGTGTGAAGTGGTATCTCATTGTGGTTTTGATTTGCATTTCCCTAAAGACTAATGATGTTAAGCATCTTTACATGGGCTTATTGGCCATTTGTATATCTTCTTTACAGAAATGTCCATTCAAATCTTCTGCTCATTTTTGGGGGAGTCAATTGTCTTTTTTTGTAGACTTGTAAGAGTTCTTTCTTTATTCTGGATATTAGGCCCTTATTAGATATATGATTTGCCAATATGTTCTTCTGGTCTTTGGGTTGCCTTTTCACTTTCGTGATAGTGTCCTTTGATGCATAGAAGTTTTTAATTTTGATGAAGTTCAGTTTATCTTTTCTTTGATTGCTTGTGCTTTTGTTGTCATATCTAAAAAACCATTGCCTAATCCAAGGTCACACAGATTTTCACCTATATTTCCTTCTAGGATTTTTATAGGTTTAGCTTTTACATTTTGGTCTGTAATGCATTTTGAGTTATTTTTTGTATACTGTGTGAAGAAGGAGTCTAAATTCATTCCTTTGCATGTAGATATCCAGTTGTCTTAGCACCATTTGTTGAAAAGACTGTTTTTTTCCCCTTTGAGTTGTCTTGGCACCCTTGTTGAAAATCAATTGAACATAAACATATGAGTTTATTTCTGGACACTGTTTCATTCCACTGGTCTGTATGTCTATCCTTAAGCCAGTAAACACTGTCCTGATTATTGTAGTTTTGAAATTGGGTAGTATGAGTCTTCCAACTTTGTGCTTTTTAAAAGTTGTTTTGGCTATTCTATATTTCTTACAGTTCTTTATGAATTTTATCATCAGCTTGTCCATTTCTGGAAAAATAAAAGGCTCTTGGAATTTTGATAGGGATTGCACTGAATCTGTAGGTCAGTTTGGAGAGTATTACAATAACAATATATGTCTTCCAATCCATGAACATAGGATGTCTTTCAATTTATTTATATCTTATTTAATTTCTTTCAACAATATTTTATAGTTTTCAGTGTACAAGTCTTACAATTCTTTGGTTAAATTTATTCCTAAGTACTTTATTCTTCTTGAAGCTATTGTGAATGTAATCATTTCCTTAATTACATTTCAGATTGTTTATTGCTAATGTATAAAATGCAATGACTTTTGTATATTGATCCTCATATCCTGCAACTTTGCTGAACTTGCTTATTAGCTCTATTAGTTTTTCTGTAGATTCTTTAGGGTTTTCTAAACAAAGGACCATATCACCTGTAGATACAGTTTTCCTTCTTCCTTTCCAATCTAGATGGCATTTATTTATTTTTCTTGCCCAAATGCCCTGGCTAGAACCTCAAGTACAATGTTGAATAGAATTGGTACAAGTGGACATCCTTCTTTTCCCTGGTCTTAGCCTCGAGGAAGACATTCAGTCTTTCACCATTAATAATGATGTTAGCTATGGGTTTTCCAGATTTCATATTTATAAAGTTCTCTTCTGTTTCTACTTTGTTGAGTCTTTTTTTTGTCATGAAAGGGTGTTTGATTTTGTCAAAAGCGTTTTCTGTGTCTACTGAGATAGCTGTATGTTTCTTTTCCTTTATTTTATCAATATGGTGAATTATATTGATTGATTTTCATACGTTGAACCAACCTTGCACTTCTGGGATAAATCTCACTTGCTGCTGGATTCAGTTTGCCAGTATTTCATTGAGAATTTTTTACATCTGTGTTCATAAAGGATATTTGTCTTTAGTTTTCTTGTGATGTCTTTTTCTGACTTTGATATCAGGGTAATATAGGCCTCATAGAATGAGTAGAGAAGTGCTCTCTCCTCTTCTATTTTTGGAAGAGTTGAAGAAGGCTGTTAACACATAGTCCTGTGCTAAAGATAGTTTAGAATAAAATTGAAGTGATACGTTTCTTCAATAATATCTCCTGTTAAGAGATCTGAAATATTAATAATTTAATGTTACTACAGTCTTAGTTTTTTAGACTTAAAATACTACACAGGTAAGCATCCGTGGTAAATTTTAATCTTCTGGTTGACCATTTTCTTTTTAATTTCAGGAAGATGATAATATGTAGAAAAAATAAAAGTCTTTTCTGAGTCTCCAAATAAGTAATGCTACTGTCTTTTCTTTTACTTCTTTCATGCCATAAATATATTTGCTTATTTAATTTGCCCCCTAAAATATGTGGTCTTATTTTTCAGTTTTGCACAAAGATCCGAGACAGGTGTATCTTTGTCTTCTTGAAATTGGTCGAATTGTGTCAAGGTATGTATTCCACAATATTTCAGAATTTCAATGTCATAAACATTTTTTAAGCTGCTTTATTTTATCGAGAACACTATTTTCTATAAATGAAAATAATTTTTGATTGGAATAAAGGTAACTTAATTTACTGTTTTTTCTTTCTTTTTGTTTCTTTATTAACTTTGTTGTGTTCACGTGAGCCATGTCATGTGTCAACATCTGCTTGCTCATGTAGCTTGCCTTCATTTAGTATTAAACTGTAAAAGTGGATACTTACATTTTTCAGATCAAAAGTAGAGTAAGAGGGCTTCCCTGGTGGCGCAGTGGTTGAGAGTCCGCCTGCCGATGCAGGGGACATGGGTTCGTGCCCCGGTCCGGGAGGATCCCACATGCCGCGGAGCGGCTGGGCCCGTGAGCCATGGCCGCTGAGCCTGCGCGTCCGGAGCCTGTGCTCCGCAACGGGCGAGGCCACAACAGTGAGAGGCCTGCGTACCGCAAAAAAAAAAAAAAAAAGGAGAGTAAGAGCATGCAATCTTTAAGCAGTTCAAGGTGAAGCAAGTCCTTTAGACACAAAGAGGGTCTGATAAGAAGGCTGAGGCCTGGTATCCTCCATACCTAGCTCGACCCCATCTTCACTCACGAGATGACTTGTTTTTTGTTTTTTTTAACAAGCTGATTTTGAAAGGTACGTTTAGGATCCCTGATTGAATATTGGGAGCATTCAGTAACCCAAATATATATATGCTATGATGTAAAGATGATAATCTGAATTTTTGGCAATCTGTGGGACATTATAAAGCATTTCCAGATGTCCCAGTGAAACAACTGGTAGAAGAGAGTCATATAGACTTTATTTAAAAATAAAAGATAACCTATTGTGATATACATGGAAGTACTTGGCTCAGACTTCACTTGTTTGATGAGATCTCATGATTGGTTTTCAGCTATGGGGTTGAGCCACCAGTATTAGTAAAATTTGAGAAAGAAATTGAGCTAGAAGAGACCTTACTTAATACTTCTGGGCCTGAAGATTCCATCAGCATTCCAAAATCATGCTGTCAGCATGAAGAGCTGCACGAAGCTGTAAGTAATTGCACACTTTCTTTCAACTATGATGCGTCAGAATCTCATAGTTCGCCAAAAGTGTTCCTCTTTCATTTTTATTAATTGAAGAGGGAAAAAAAAGTAGCATGAATGAAAGTATTTATTGCAGTATTACTTATAAGGCTGAAAAATTGGAAGCAATGTAAATACTCTCAAATTGGGCAATGGCTAGGTAAATTAGGATTTACTATTTTAGCAGAATAATCATTTTTGGTAATCATTATGAAGACTATATAGCAACAAGAAAAAAGTTTACTTTGTGAAAAGTATGTATCAGAACAAGGAGAATGAAAATAATTGATATTAGGGTAGTACCTTTACAGATGATTTTAATTTCTTTAGCTATTTCCTTTAATGTTAAAATGTTAATTACACAATAGCTAAAACCAGAAGAGAACATTTTTTATTCACAGCACTTACTCCTTTTAGGCTCACCAACTTATTTAGATTGTGAGTTAGTGCTGATTTGTACTGCTGAATATAAGTGGTATTTGGATATTTTAAACAAAGAAAATAAGTGACCTTTTATGCCTGCAAGCTTGTTATGAAAACTCAAGGGAACACATTTCTTTAAATATATATGTGCTATATGAATATATTCAGAGTCCACCTACACATATGTGACCTGCTGAGATCTTATGGTCATGTTTAAAATTAAGGAACAATTACCTGATTCATTATTTTGAGTGCTGTTAAGAAATATACAGCTGCAATTCTGTGTACCTAAGAAACCTTAATGGATAGAAAATAATTACCTCCTTTCAAATTACTTTGTTATCTAACTTGTAAATGGTTCAAATAATTGTAAATTCTTTACCCAAGTTCAGAATATTTTTTAGCCATCTTATGCATGTGGTATGTGTGTGTGTGTGTGCGTGTGTGTACATATGTGCTCATATAACCAAACTGAACAAGATAAACTTCATTGAATCGCTTATGAAAATCAGTTCTATTTATGATCTTGTTATTTTGTTAAATGAATGATGTAGGGAGATAAATCCGGATCCTTCTGATCAGGCCCGGGTGAATCCACATGTGTCCATTTTGTGTAGATAATTAAGACACTCATAAATTTCTGTTAGTGCTCAGGTAAATTGGGTATATCTGAAGAGACTTTCTTTAACATCATGCCTAAGTGCAATTAAGTGTATTTGTTTAGATATACTCTGTGTGACAAGTAGTTGAGAAAAATATACTTTTTCAAAAATATAATTTTAGGAAAACAAAATGGTGTCCATAGTGGCTGATATGTGACTCTTTTTTTCAAATCAAACATATCTCAGCAAATATTTTCATTTAATCAATTTATATTAATTTCCATGTTTTAAATAAAGAATTTCTGAATTTTAATTTTTATTCCAGTTTTTACTTTTTTTTTTTTTTTTGCGGTACGCGGGCCTCTCACTGTTGTGGCCTCTCCCATTGCGGAGCACAGGCTCCGGATGCGCAGGCTCAGCGGCCATGGCTCACGGGCCTAGCCGCTCTGTGTCATGTGGGATCTTCCCGGACCGGGGCACGAACCCGTGTCCCCTGCATCGGCAGGCTCTCAACCACTGCGCCACCAGGGAGGCCCAGTTTTTACCATTTTTAAGATATTTACTGCAGTTAAAAATTCTGTAAGCCCCTCGAGGATTAGAGGTAGGATTTTCTCCTCAGTTCTCATCTCCTTAGCAGACTATTGAAACAAAGTGAGTGCTTTTAGAAAAATGCCTCTTGAGTTGAAATTTTTAGAATTTACCTAGTCTTGGGTGAATATTGGATTGGCCAAAAAGTCTGCTTGGGTTTTTCGTAAGATGTTACGGAAAAACCCGAATGAACTTTTTGCCCAGCCCAATAGCTATAAATGCATCTCTGCCTATTTTAACAGTAACTTTGGAACAAATCTGGATATTCCCCCATACATACAGTATTACTTTCACATGGTGTTAAGGGACAAGTGAAAATTCCTGGTTAAACTTTATCTAACGGGTCCATCTTTGATTTGACAGATATATTAATCCAAGTCTTAAAACAATTCAAACTTAGTAACGAACTGTTTCCTATGACTGAATGAATGTGTTTTGGATTGACTTCACTGTGTACACATTCACAGACCTTCTCCGGTGATCAGTGAGTACACGACGAGCCTGATTGCACTTGGGCAGAGAGAGAGAGAGAGAGACTCCAGACTTCCTCACTGTTAGGTTTTATTAGATTAGCTAATGTCTAATCTCAATATTTGACAACAAGTAAAAGAGAAGAGATAATAAATAGTTGAACTGTCTTTAAATTTTTATCTTTGAGTTTGATTTTCCCAACTATCAAATAACCTTGCATTTTAACATTAAACAAAATAGTTTTTGTCACAAGCACTAAATCTTGTTGTTTATTTTTAATCTTAGGTTAAACACATTGCTGAAGACCCTCCTTGTAGTTGTTCTCATCGATTTTCTATTGAGTACTTATCTGAAGGACGGTATCGACTAGGAGATAAAATACTTTTTATAAGAGTAAGTCTACCGTTTATATCCTGTTTAGATCTTGTTTTGAAATTGAATTTATTGCTTTACCAACCTTCTTTTGTTCCCCTTTTACTTTTTAAAAAATTGGAATAGAGGATGTTATTAATGGAAGAATTTCACTGTATAGGAGGAAATATATGGAATATTTTCAAGAGTATATAATGTGTTTAGGTAAACATGCTTAACACAGCAAACAACTAATTGAGCTAAGACTATTTGGACATTGAATATAATTGGGGGAAAAAATTTTTGAATACCTCAGGTAACTTATTCCATTTTTTAGATTTCCTAAAGAGGAATAATTTTCTATCATAAGAAGAAGAAAAAAGCAAAACCAGAACATCTAATAAGATTAAATGTCAGTAAGAAGAAAAAGAAGTAGAAACATTGCAGTTGATAATAATATAGACTTTGGGTCTTAAGTATGAAGCCTTTTTTTCACTGACACAGCATCAGCATCTATACTAATATGCTAATATACATGCTTGTTTTCTTCCTTTGTCCCATTTGCAATCTGCAATTGATTAATTGTCCCCTTTGCTGATAAGGAGATTGAAGTTTACCTGTTCATCATTCTGTCCACTTATTGATACAAGAGCTGTTTTATTCCCAATTTAAGGAATGTAATATAAAAGTATGTAAAAATTATAATTTTACCACCTATATTTTCTTTTATTTCATATATTATCGTTAGTTCCCCATACCCTGTTCAACTCATATAGAAACAGGTATATGCATTTTGTCTTTTAATTAGATTTCTTTTCTTAAGCAGTATGATATAGTGATAGTGCACAGAGCATGGGATTTAGAGTTAAAATTTGCAGAGCAGTCTCATACAACTTTGCAGATTTGCCTGCTGAAAGAACAGGGGCCTGAGTCCGTCCAGCTCGGGCTGCGCTGGCAGACCCAGGATATATCTTATCAACACAAAAGCACCTTTTGGGTTGGGCAGCCTGGTGCGTTTGAGGCCAGGCCAAGCTGTGTGGTTTGAGACAGTTTCCTTAATCTCTCAGAGCCATAATTTTCTCATCTGCAAAGAAGAACTAGTAATAAATTATATCAAAGTTTTTGAAAGATTAAATTGATATGATGCATACGAAAGTAATTTGTTAAATTCTAACATACAAGTTTTGGTAGTTTTTACCTTTCTTCTGTAATTATGTTTTTCTTTAGTATGAGTCTTTTTTTCTCTCCTCCCCTCCTTTACTCTCCCTTTTCCTTTCTTCCTTCAACATTCAGTCCTTGCAGTTTTGCGTATTAGTAATTTGGAGTTTTAGGATGTGTAAATATCTTCCTGACAAACTGGAGGATTCTCTGTTGTTAGCTGCATGATTCAATATGAGTTAAATTTGTTACTTTAGTAACACAAGAAAGAGACTAGCAATTTATAGTGAAGCTGGTGGCAAATACACTGAATTTCATAGTCACAGACATCACAGACTGTGACTGCTAATGAACCGTAACTGCACCTTACAGTTTTACAGCTTTACTTTTTACTTTCTTTTGGGGGAAAGATGCTTCACGGAAAACATGTCATGGTCCGTGTCGGTGGAGGCTGGGATACTCTTCAAGGATTTTTGCTTAAATATGACCCCTGTCGAATATTACAGTTTGCTACACTAGAACAGAAAATTCTAGCATTTCAAAAAGGAGTTTCTAATGAAAGTGTGCCTGATTCGTCCGCCAGAGCACCTCAGCCTCCTGAAATGAATCCTTTGTCAGCAGTTAGCATGTTTCAGAAACAAAATTCAAAACCTGGCACACCAATTGGTATTCCAAGGAGCAAAGAGAAGCAGGTACGTCTGCCAGGTGTGTTGCCACCAGCATCTTCCCTGAAAGGAGGCAATCTGGCCTGTGGGTCAGTCCGTTCTAAATTTCCAACTTCTCCAGCAGTGTCCTCTCATCTCAAACTCAGATCTTCAAAGGGCGTAACAAAGAAACCGGAGGCTCCTTCAAACGATGCATCACCTTCATCTGCTTCTTTAACTCCAGTAGGTAAAAGCACTTTCTCACCAGCTTTATTAAGAACTGCACCTTGTGTATCTGAGTCGTTGAGAAAATGTGTCTCATCACCCAGTACTCCTAAGGCCAAGCTTATTCCAGCCCAGAAGTCAAGAGATGTGCCTGAATCCACACTTTTGCCAAGTAAGTGTTCTGGAAAAATTGAACCAAAGCATTTGAAACACCATCATGTGTCTTCCAGGGATTATGCAGTCTCTCATTCAGCTGCACGTTTAAATTCATCATCAAAGTGTCCAAAGCCACCTAAGGCAAATCTGCACGTAAGGCCTAACCCTTCTCCTTCTTTCCAGTCTCCTGGAAAAGTGACAGCATCCAGTTCCAAAACGATAACCACGGGTCTGAGAACACAGTCTCAGCCACGTGTTGGAGCTCCGCAAGCGGGGGCAATGCCAGCACAGAAACTTAAGTCAGCCTTGAATTTAAACCAGCCACTTTCTGTATCCTCAGTTGCTCCTGCAAAAGCTGCAGAGAAGTCGAAAGATAACATGGTTTCAGTTGCCAAAAAGCAGCCTCAGAGTAAAAGCACGTCCCAGAAGACAGGACCCAGCTCCTCCAGGTCCCCGGGCCGTACCCCGCTGTCCATTGTGAGTCTTCCCCAGTCTTCTGCCAAAGCACAACCTGAACCAAAGTCAGCACAGACTGCCACCAAGAGCCAGTGCTTAGCCAAAGGGCCTCCCCAAAGTGGCAAAGCCCCGGCTGCAACCAGGAAGCCACCCTCATCTGGCAAGGAGGCAGTTAGTGGAGATAAAAAACCTGCAAAGAAGAAGGAAGACAATGATCATTATTTTGTTATGACTGGAAGTAAGAAACCTAGAAAATAAACATAATGTGTCATTCTAAGAGAAGAGAGGAAAGAAAGAGAGTGAGTGTGTTAGCTGCACACCTTAAAAGTTTCTTCTATTTGTGTTTATCCAAATAGGTTCAGACATTAAGTACAATAAGATGGGGGTAGAGGTTGGGGCGAGGAGGGGCTCATCAGAATTCACACACCTGAATTCACCAGAAGGTACCCTTTTAAGGTGAACAGTGGTAAAATCACCGGGAGATTCTTATTAGTTATAGACATTTATATGATTTTCAGTCCATGACATCTTTGTTAATGTCTGCCCATTAATGGAAATGTAAAGTCAAATAACACTACTAGGTTTATAACTGTAGTTGCTGTATTTTGAATGTGTGTTAAATGTGGACGTTATTACCTGCTAATAGAAACGGAGGTGCTCTTAGTATAAGTTACTGCATTTTAGTTTAAAAGCAACGGTTTGGCACTTGTCTTGCAAAAGACATCTTATTTTGTTTCCTGTTCAGGATTGCCTGATGGAACAATACTAAGTACCAGTGGCTGCTGCTCATTAGCTTCCTGTTACTCTGGGTTTGGTAGAATTGCTATTATTTAAAATTTTTTTAAGCTTTCCAAATCAGAAGGAACTGATTTTTTTAACTGACTTCTATTAACCTTGGTAATATTTTGTTACCAGTATTTTTGGTAAAAAAAATAAAATTAAGGTATTGAAATATAAATTGAAACTTGGAAAAAAATTTTTTCACATATTATTTATAAGAACTTATACCTTATATTTTAGATGGACATTGTGCAATGTGAAAGGGGAAACGATTTAGTAGCTTTTAGCATATTAGAAATATTTTTTAATAGTGTAATTTTCTGTGAGTGCAGATATCAATTTTTACATTAAAATAATGTTTAACATCAGAATTATGTTTTAACAGTCTTAAAATTAAGGTGATATTAAAGAATATTAAAGTGGTGCTACATAAAAATTCTGTCATGTGATTACTATTTTTCTTTAGCACAATAATACAAGTTTTAATTAGAGGTTTCCAATTATGTTAATTTTCTTCAATAAAGTCATGCTGCCTTCAGTTTTCCAATGGCAAATGGACAGTATGTATGCAGCGTTTTCTATTCTGTAGGCAGATTCTCCAAGGAACTTACCCAGATCATGTGGTGGCTATATAGACTATCGATCTGGGATGATATTTGTAAATAATATGTTTTTTAATAGATTGTGACTATTTAAAAAATTGTTAATGTACTTTCAGAAGTTTTAGGGGTGTGTTTAATAACTTTACAGTATTATCAGCTATCACAGGTTATTTTCCGTATTGAGGTCTGTGTTTCCCTATTTTAAACTAAAATGTGTTTTCTAAAGAAAAATAACGGTTCACACAAATGTGCAATCGTAGAATAATCATCTTAAGCTGACTACTGATGTTTGTAGATTTTAAAGCAAGAAACTTTTGTATAAAAGTAAGCTATCTTTTGTCTGAGAAATACAGTTAAAATCAAAGCTGCGTGCAGGCTAGTTTTTGAAATAATTGATGCTTCTCTTCTTAAAAGAGACAGTCACCAAATATTTAGTTGCGTTCCACTGTTGATCTGGGCATTGAGGGAGATAATATTTACATCTTTGGAAAGTGAAGTCAGTGTTCAAGAAGTACCAGAAGGGGCTTCCCTGGTGGTGCAGTGGTTGAGAATCCGCCTGCCAATGCAGGGGACACGGGTTCGGGCCCTGGCCTGGGAAGATCCCACATGCTGCGGAGCGACTAGGCCCATGAGCCACAACTACTGAGCCTGTGTGTCTGGAGCTTGTGCTCCGCAACAGGAGAAGCCACGACAGTGAGAGGCCCACGCACCGCGATGAAGAGTGGCCCCCGCTTGCCACAACTAGAGAAAGCCCACGCACAGAAACAAAGACCCAACACAGCCAAAATTAAATTAATTAATAAAAAAAAGAAGTAAAGCAAAACCAAGTAAAATTCATTAAAAAAAAAAAACCAAGAAGTACCAGAAGCTTTACATTTTTAGTGATGAGAAATATTTAATGCATCTTTCAAAGAGGAAGAATTTTACCTTTAAGAAGGAGTTTATTCCTTTGTAAGACCAAACAATTCTGTATCAGTAACTTCTGGAATAAGTTACTGATACAGAATAAAGTATCATCTGGCAGTTCCAAGAACTGGTTTTATTTTTTTGAAAAATTGTAAGTTAATTCATAAAGAGCCCTGTCTTCATCAGGCTACTGATTTCCAACTCTAGTTCTAATTTCACACTTTGATACAGTGAGAATATTCTTGAAATACACATTTTATCCAGTATTCATGATCAGGGAATTTCTCCAATTATATTCACATTGGATGAATTTTTATTTATATATAGCTGACTCTTCCAAAATAAATTTTTTTTTAAAGTAAGCAGTGGCTGAAAGATACTTTCTTCAAATATATTTTGAAATGCCCTTAAAGACCTAGTGTTTCTAATTGTTTTCACAATTTTAAAAGTACATTGTTGAAGTTAGAAAGAAATTATCATTTCTTCTTAATAGTAGTGCAAGATTTTAAAAGTTTCTTTTTGTTTAATATTTAGTAAAATGAATATTAAGCTTAAATTACTGACGTACCTGGAAGAAGAAATAATGTGTACTTTCAAAAAAGAATGAAATATTTAAATTTTTCGTTTCTATAATTTGTTAACGTGACTAACATATCAAATAAATCTTCAGAGGAAAATGAAATGCTGATTATTTTTGCATTGTTTGAGCTTACACTAGGTGTTTAAGGCTTATATCTTTAAAATGCTTTGATAAATTAGATGATCTCTAACTTTCCTCTCCACACTGAGTTAACAATTCTTAATGGATAAGGGAAATTTTTTGAGAAAAGAAATTACTGTTCCTTCTGCAATATATATCTGATACAAAAATCTGTTACTTCTTTAAAAGGCTTTAGTTACAAGTTGTCATGATACAGTCATATCCAGGTTTACATACTGACTCCATTTGAATCCAAAGTTGTATATATTTTCTTGTGCCAGCAGTGTTTGTATCAGATTTTAACTTATATTTTCTCAAGTATTAAAGTTTAAACGTATATACCAAGTCCTCAGTTTACATTTTTGTGTGTTGTGAATACATTCTGATCACTTGGTTCATGTCAGAAGTTGCATATATGAAGCATTCATAATTTGAGGATAGTTTTAATTTTATTGCTATTTAAAATGCCCTTCTGATACCTGTGAAATTTATTTCACTGCTCGTAGGAGATTATCAAGGTTTTGCCATTAATAACGGTATTTGTTCCACAAGTTGTTGTATCTGCTAGAAGTTTGTCTCAGTAAGGCTAGACTCATATTTAATAATTTCTGATGACAGAAATAATTTATAAGTTATGAAAGCAGAATTCTATAGATCACATAAGTATTGTGTTCACAGAAGGCTACTGACAGTAGGAGTTTCCAATTCCTGCAATTCTGTTTTAATTTCACACTTCGATACAGTGAGAATATTCCTGAAATATTCATTTTATCCTATATTCATGATCAGAGCAATTATAAAAAGCAGTTAATTAAATATGTATTTTCTGTGATGTTTCCGAATGAAAACAAAAACACCACTTAGACAAAATCAAAATTCTTATTATATTTTCCTAATCATTTGTGAATGTAAAAATTTTAAACAAGTTCATTTTATGAAATTTTGGGGAATATTAGGAAACTATTAATGAAAAACTTGCCAGTAAATCTGAAAATATAAAGACACATATTTTATTCAATTAGCTATTTTCCTATAAATATACTGTTTTGTTCTTGTAGAAAAACACAATATGACTCCATCTTGAAAAAATAATACATGCAAAAATTTAGCTATAAGGATGTTAGTCATAGCACATCAATATTGTTATGGCCATAAAATAGAACACCATACAGACATTAAAAAATGATGTAGGTGTTGATTCTTTTTTTTTTTAACCTTTTGGTTTATTTATCTTCATGTAGGTTACATAACAAAGTTTATTTCAGTAGTCACTTAAAACTAAATCCCTGAATTCTCACATTGTGTAGAAATATCACAGGAATCCTTTCTGGGTTGAGCAAGACGTTTGTATCAGTTCATGAGGTATAGTGATATATTCTTGAAGTTGGCTGTGGCTATAGCCAGTTTGCATATCTGAATATGATGACACTACTTTTGATTAGTCACAGCCACTGGTGAGGATAATTGACTAATTTAAAAAATGCTTGGCAAACACTTGGGATTTATCTTAAAAGATGTATGTATGGTGATGAAGTGATTTGTTTTGAGAGATGGCAATGATAAAACAATATATAATATTTCTGAATTGTCTGTGTTCTGCCAGGCACAATACTTATTGCATGGTGTGTGAAAGGATTTTTTCCTGAGGAAATGTTGTGGTAGAGTTTGAAGAAGCCTGCAGATATGACCTGCTTATTTCTGGAGGGGAATGGACAGGAGAGGGGAAGAGGGCACTAATAAGAGAGGCCTTGGAGTTATGGATTTCTTCCATTACATTAAATAACAGAGAATGCTGCACTTTTACAGAAGAAAAATGTTAGGAACTTTCCAACTTACTATCCAGGTTTTTGTTTTAAAATATTTATTTTCGGGGTTTGAGAAGATACTCAGAGCATCATGTATAGACTTAGATTAGCAAGGGTCCTGCTACTGCCTTATTCAAACTCAGCCCAGGGAGTCTGTTGATAGAGCATGTTAACTACTGAAGTCACACCAACCTGTGAGCAGCAGAGGGAAGTCAAGGCAGTGGTCCCAGGGAGCTGTGTGAGTTACCCCGAGCGCTGGCCCCTTCAGTGGGTCCTAAATGCATTGGGTCTAGCCCAGCAGATTCCTTGTATTACCTGTATTGATGATTATTCCAAAGCAATCTACTCAACCACAAGGCACCGAAACACCAACTCACTCATTTGCTCATTTAGCAAACATTTTTTCTGAGGTCTGTGGCAGACACTAAGCTAGATGCTAAGGATACAGTAGTAAGAGCGGTCAGTGCTCTCCAGGAGAGGGCAGTCTTCATTCAAGTGGTTAAAAAAAAAAGAAAAAAAAAAGTATGATGTTCTTTTTGACTGTAGCCCACTCAGTTCTTTCTGGGACAAGATACCTTGGTGAAAACCTTCTGTCTTTTCTCATATTGCTTTGGATCAGGAGCCCATAGAAAAAAGTGAAAAACTTGTATTTGTATCTGAGCCTTAAGAACAAGAGTCATTCACCACCAACTGTTTCTCAGAAAATAGAGCAGAAAGAATCAAGTCCTAAACAAGGGATGGGAAACAAAGAAATCTGAGCTTTCTCTGGATAAGCCATCAAGAAGCACACATCTCTAATACAAGGATGCTCTTCTAACTCTAGAATGTTTCCTGTGACAGTGGGGATTGATTCCCACCCTGACCCATCCACAAACTCCACCTTGGCCTTAACAAGTGTGCCACAGACCGAGGTGGGATCTCAAACCAGCTGCCTGTGGGAAGGCTGGTCTCCCTCCAGCCACCTCAGTTATGTTGGAGGAACACAGCTTCGAGCAGATGCTCCCTGTGATTTGACATCTCAGTGCCTCCTCCTACTGCCTCAGCAGGTGACAGGAAAATTGTCCTGTAAAATGCATTGCTGTGACTCAACAGAACAGCACCTTCTGGGCCTTTGCAGCATCTTCCTGGCTGGCCTGTAGCCCCAAGGGACCCATAGGTGTCCTGGGAAGACCTGGTGTGTTAGGTCAGCTCTTTTAGTTGCAAGACATAGATTTATTTCAGTTCTCTTTAGTACTGTGTTGTTTTATGGATACACAGAACCTAAAGGACGAGAGGAATCCGGCAGCAACCCAGAAATATCTGTTCAGTGAGCCTCACAGAAATTGGAACTGGAGTCGTTGAGAAACATGGGGAGCTCTAGAGACAGGTAATCTCATCTCCCTTCTGCAGCCCGAGTTCCCCCCCTTCACTGTGGTTCTCTGCCAGGAACATACTCTAGCCAGCCTCCAACCTTCTGATCCTCTTTGTGGGTTTTCTTGCATCTTTGAAAAAACCCAGCCAACCAACCAACCAAACAAACAAAAACTACCTGATACCATTTACCTGTTCAAAGTCTCAAGAGAGAATCTGATTGGTTTAGTTAATTACCATTGTTCTATTTTGGGCAGTTTTTTGCTCCAGGCCACTGCACAGGTCAGTAGTCAACCAATGAGTTGGCTGCCCTCCGTATACCCATCCCCCTTGATGAACCAGCATGGTGAACAGATAGGTCACGTGGTCTAGAGCATGGCTACCTTGATGTAAGGAATAGCTTGGTTCACTTGTCTTAGCAGAAGCTGCAGCCAGTTTTCCTTAAAAGGCCAGGCATGACTGATTTGTCCAGTTCTCTTGGTAAAGAAGCCCAGAGTTGGGTTGAATTTGGCCTGAGCTACCTAGGGAGGTCTCTTTGCAAAAAGGAGCCATCAATTTCCAGCACTGACCTTTTCTTTCAAGGTTATTGAGGCCAATATGACCTCCAAAATCCAAATCTGCACTTTTGATGGCTGGAAATGCTCAAGTACATGGATGTTACTGAGGACAGGTATAAATAATGTTCAGCAATGTTTGTTTTATCCCTGGATCTTGGAGACTCACCAGCTTTCCCTGAATTGGCCCACTCTGGGATATTTCAAAGCCTTTTTCTGAGTGGGAGAGAGAATGTTCTAGACCCTCGCTTCCCAATTTCTAAAGAAGCCTCTCCAACCCTTACACTACAGTGTCA